AGCACCAAGGTGCCCCCCTCAGGACGACGGTCACAGACAGGTCCAGACTGGTCCTAAACCAGGTTACTTTGGACCTTTTCTGGTTCTGGTTCTGATCAGCATGAGAGAAGGCGGAGCCTCTCAGGTCCAACTTACCGGCAGCACCAGAACTTTGTGGACATCTGTTCTGTAGCGGATTTTCAACGGGATCTCACGAAGCGGGTCAGAACTGGGCCCGGGGCTCAGCATGATGACATCATCGCCGTCGTCACTGTCGGTCCCGGATCGTCTGGTTTTCCTGTGCTGAGGTCTTGGCGACAGGGTGGAGCTGATGGCGCGGAGCTTCCTGTCGATCTCACTGTGGAAGAGAAGCGCGGGTCAGAACAGAACCAGGCAGGACCTGGACTCTCTGGGCCGGACTCACCTGATCTTCCTCCGGGTCTGAACGGACTGTTTTTGGACCGGGCTCTGAGGGGGGGGAGGAGACGGACAGCGAGGACTTCTTCTGGAACTGAACAAGACCATTACAGACCCTGATTCTGGTTCTGGTTCTGAGGGTCCACGAGCTGGCCCAACTTACGCTAGTCTCTCTGAACGCTGCGATTGGTGCAGAGGTTCTGCTTCGTCCTCAGAGTCCAGGAGCTCAACGGGCGGCGCTGCTGAGGAGAATTCTGACCGCAGGCTCTCTTTAGCACCATCGTCTGGTTGGAGGCAGAAACAACAAGCTGCTTAGATCAGAGGGGCGGAGCCTACTGCTGCCAGAAACCTGCCGGGTCATAGAACCTCACCTGAACGCTCCGAGCCGCAGAGCAGCGCCGCCGTGGGCTTCAGCCGCAGACCGCTGCTGACCTGGAAGGACAAACGACCATCAGAGCCGCTCTCAGAGACCAGAACCAGAACCAGGAGCTGCTGCACCTTGCTGGAGTAAACCGGGACCGGGACGATCGCCGCCGGGTTGAGAACTCGTCTTCGTTTGGGTGGAGGCCTCCGCTCCTGCAGGTCACTGCTGGACACCTGAGAGCACAGAGGTCAAAGGTCAGAGCTTCATGCTGTTCTCCTCCTGCTTGGTTCGGACGGACGATCACGACTTTTCACCGCGTTGGTCACGTAACTCCGCCTCCTTCCAGTTACTGCGCCATCTTTGTTATTAGTCACCGCATCCCATGATGCTTTGTGAGGAGAGCTCTTGCAAAGCATCATGGGATAGATCTGCTGGTCTAGTGACCATGGATGATAATTACTTTTCAAGGTGCATTGTGGGAAATTTTGAGTGTTCTGATCCTTTATCTTCAGCTCTTCTCTGACCCTCGCTGTAGAAGGTCTCCTCTGAACGTTCTGCATCATCAGAGCTGCCAGTGAGGCACAGCAGAGGAGGCATGGTGATCTGGGCTCTGCCGTCACTGAATGGACCATGATCTCCACTGAAGACTAATGAGTAAAAGGAGACGTCCCGGGTTACGGTGAGCGCCGGTCTGAACATCTCCTCCCTGAAAGAAGCTGATCCAGTTCTCCTGGTTAGACCCAACTGATGACCCAGAACCCCA